GACGCATTCTCATCTTCTGCACTGACTCCTTCGGGGGCCTAGTCCTGTCTCACTGCCTATTAATGTATGTCTAACTTAACGGCCTATAACAGTGCTAGATACAGCAAAGCTTTGGGCCTTTGTTGTTCATCTCTGCGGAGGCTTGTAGGCCTCGTGATCATGTATCCATCTTGGGACCAAGTTTCTATCCACTTAACCCTTAACTATAGGTGTGGTTTGTCTCCTCTCTGTTCTGACTCTATCTTGGGCCTGATTCCTTTTGAGCTGCCTATCAACTTCTATCTAATTTTGCTATCTGTAATACTTTGGTGTACATATATGCCTATCACTGGAAAAGTCCTAAGAGTGGAATTGCTGGGTCACAAAATAGGTATATTTCAGCTTTCAGAGAGACTGCTAAATAGATTTTCAGAGCTGTTGTACCAATGCATAATTTATCATTTTATACAGAGGATAAGAGTTTTGTTCCTTTCCATGCTCACCAACACTAAATGTTTTAATTTTTGCCATTGTAGTAGATGTATAGTAATAACACACTGTAGTTTTGTGTTTCCTTAATGACTATGATATCAACAGTTTTCACATGTCTATTATGTATTTGAATATTCTTTTATAAAGTATCTGGCATATCTTTTTGACAGTTTTTCTATTATTAGCTGTCTTTTTCTTATTGACATACAGTGGTTATTTATATATCTGGAATGAGTCTTTTTTCAAGCATTGCACATACAGTCTCACATCTGTGGCTTGCCTTTTCACTATGGCAGCATCAAACACTCTAAAAGTTGCTCTATGTGTAGCACTGGAATGCCTGCCTTTCATTTTAGATATGTTCTGAAGGGAGAAAAGCCCTACTGTCTCTTCTCCTCCTCATGTCTCTGAAAGCCTAATTTTAATTTATCTAAATGAATAGCCACAGGGAAAGAAAACCAGGGGAAGCTTTTGTGGTTATGTACAGAGGTGTATATTGAAAGGGAGAGCATTTGACCTGACATTTGTTTTGGCTGATGATATTGTGTGTGGGTATTCCTACCAATTCTGTAGCTCACAGACATCTGGATATGATTGTTATTTTGTCTTAAAATATGTCACCCTATTAACAAAGTTTTCAGAAGTTAGGAATACATTTGGTTTTTCATTTTAGTCTAACAGATTATCAGGGTCTTAACAATTTAAAACCACATTTATTATGTATCGGTTTCATGGATCGGGCTTAGCAGCATGCTCCACTTAGAGTCTCTCAAAGGCTCTGAGCAGGGTGTTGACAGGACTGTGCTCCTTTCTGGCCCTCTTCCAGGGTCATCAGCAGAGTTTACTTCCTTGTCATTATGGACCTGATGTCCCTCTTTCTCGTCAACTGGGAACTCCATTGTTTTCATGCATTTTGGGGTCTGTGTTTTTTTCAGCTTGGCTGCTGCTTCAGCCTTCCAAGAGAGTCCTCACTGAAGGAGAACCTTTGACCTTGAGGTGTCATGGATGGAAGAATAAATTGGTATACAATGTGGTTTTCTATCAAAATGGAAAGCCTGTTAAGTTTTCTTATCAAGATTCTGCACTCACTATTCTGAAAGCCAACATGAATCACAGTGGCGTCTATCACTGCTCAGGCAAGCAAAGATTACCTGTCCACTTCACATCGACAAGAGTACCTGTGATGGTGAAAAGTATTGTATCTAAATAGTTACAGAGCTATAGTTGTAAAGATCCAAAGGACCAGCATAAATCATCTAAATCCTCATTTCAATTCATAAGAGATAAACTGCTTCAGTAAATGGGTCCCTTCCATTGCTCTTTCCAGTATACCAAGTCCTATCAATAATCACAGGAGCTAAACTCAAAGCCAGGACATAATGAAGATCCATTTTATCAATCTGATTTTAGTTTATAAAGATTAGAGACTCCTTCAAGGTAGCTAAAAGAGTTATTAGAAAATAGCCCAGTAGAATTTCATGAATGCTCCATGGAAGTGGCAACCACAAAGACATTAAGAGCTGTTTCATCTGTCTCTCAAGGACAGTACAGCCTTTCTGGTCCTATTTCTCTCTAAACATCTGCAAACTAAGCAGCTTCCCCTGTCCAAGTTTACATGTAGCTCTTGCTCTGACCATTTAATGATCTTTCCTCTTAGCACCCACAGTCACCAGTGACATTTTTCCATCCAAAAAAAACTCATTCCTGTGGGAAAGAAATTACTGTCTTGGATTATTGTTTGAGAGAGCACAAGTAAGGAATCACTGAACTGACAAGGATGTGAGCTAGTGCCTGCTCTGGGTACATCATTACCAAGAGGGTGCAGTTATATAATACCATGGTCATTCAGGGAAGATTGGGCCATATAAAGGAATTGTCCTCTATGGATGCAAGCAAGCTGATAGTGTTAATTATGTCTGTTAGGAAACCCCCATAGTTTCTCTCTTGTAAGCGGGAAAAATTCAGCTTATGGATGCAATTTCTAGGGAACAAGGTAGGACCTTGTGAAAGGACCTTGATGCTGAAGGAGACAACTCTGTCCCCTATCAACTTTCTCTTCAGAGCTGTTTCCAGCTCCAGTGCTAACCTCATCCTTCGGCAGAGGATCCCCACTTCAGCAGAGGAAACTAGTCAAGCTGAGCTGTGAGACAAAGTTGCTCCCACAGAAGTCTGGCGTGCAACTTTACTTCTCCTTCCACATGGGCCACAAGACGCTGAGGGGCAGGAATACATCCTCTGAGTACCACATTCTAACTGCTGGAAAAAGTGGTTCTGGGTCCTACCGGTGTGAGGCAGCCACAGAAGATGGAAATGTCCTTAAGCGCAGCCCTGTGTTGGAGCTTCAAGTGCGTGGTGAGTGAGGATTGGAAGCGACTGGCAAAGGAGAAGGGGCCATTTGCTGCCATGAGGCTGAGGCTTGTTTAGGGGTTTGATGGCCCAGCCAGTAGGAGGAAGTGTTTTTAGGAAAAGCTTGGGGTTGGGCCTTTCCACCACTGGTTCAGAACTTCAATATGCTCTTCACAAACTTCACTGTTTCCCTTCCTGCCTTTTATTTTCCTTCCCTTCATCTCATTCTTCCCTCTTTTCTTCTCCTCCTTCATTTTCTGTTCTCGCTTCCTGTCACTCTTGTACCACCTTGTTGCCCACTTCTCCATTCGCACCCCTGCTCTGTCCCTCACCAACCATCTCACCAGAATATACTGAGCTTCTCCTGTCTGCTGCTAGTGGATCTGGGAATACAGACACTGGGGTGCCATTTTTGATTCACATAGTGGATTTATAGGAAGTGATCTTGTAGACAGCACATAAGAACCTGCCCAAGTGTCTGTTAAGAGAGGTAGTGAAATGGTGAGTTCAGGAGGAAAGGTTCTTTGGGAAAATCAAAATAAAGTTAATCTTCAATCCAAGCATTAAATAACGTAGAAATAGCAGTGATCTCTGCAATGAAGGAGTAAATCCTTAGCTTGGGTCCCTGGTAGTTAAACTCTTCCCAGGAGTTTGTCCTTGTGTGGACAGCATAGAGCCCAGCTGGCGCTCCCCCCAGTTCTCCAGGCCCCCAAATTGCCAGTGCCCCATGAGGACAAGCACACTAGGCCTCAGTCAATCTCATTCCAGACAGAACTCAGCCAGATCCTTCCGGTGTCTAAGTAGTGTCTCTTCTTTTTGTTTCTGTTTCAGACCTCCAGGCACAAATTTCTGTCTGGCTTCACATCCTTTTCTATATACCATTGGGCATAATGTTTTTGGCAGATACTATTCTCTTTATGAGAATATGTAAAGAACTGCCAAGCGAGAGAAAGTGGAATTTAGAAATCTCTTCAGCTTCTGATCATGGAGAGGAAGTAACTTCGGAAAATCCCAAAGACATTTAGAAGAAGAGATGAAGTATCAGGAACAAGACCCACAGCAAGAAAGGACACGCTGAAGCCCTGGCAGAGAGACAAGCATTTGCTTAGAGGGTGACCAAAGATTTAGGGACAGCCTCTGCCTCTTCCTCACTGTGGTAGCACTTAGACACAAATATCTGAAAATTAAATGCCACTTTCCAAAGCTTATAACTGTGGGTTCCATAGCTTATAAGTCTAAAATAAGCTGACTTCAGTTGAGACAAATGTAGAAATTTGGTAATGAAAGATAATTTAAGATGAGACCTACTCTAAAGAAATCATCAAAAATTTGAAAGTCAAAAAAAATTTAGAAGTCAAATCTAATTATCCTACTAATTTGAAAACCAGTATATTTTGAAGAACAGGATAAAAAGTTGAGTGTAGCAGCCAGGGATTTAGCTCAGTGGGTCAAGTGCTTGCCTGGAAAGTGTGAAGTCTTGAGTTTGATCCCTGGTACCAAAGAAAAAGTGAGTGTATGTGTAACCACAAAAGATTAAGGCACAAAATGAGAGTGAGAAAAAGATAGAGGAAGGCCCGCTGACATGTGCACATGCACACACACCTGGGTGGGGAGGGGGTCATGGAGACCAGAAGGATGGGTGGAGGGTGGAGAGAAGGCAAAGAAGAAAATAAAACTTACATATCTGTGACTTTTGAGAGACTTTGAGAGAGAAAGCTCACATCTGTGTGTTTAAGATAGTTACTTTCCTGGCTTTTCTAGTTAGCAGAGAACATTTCCAATTGTATTATAGACATGCAAGGGAGAAAATCATGAGGAGAAATGGCCACGTAGTTCTCGCGTTTTCATTTAAGGCTTGCTCAAACCCGCTCTATCCAGAGACCCCAGACATCCTATCAGTCCATTCCAGGCTCTGGTCTACAGGAAGGCAGAATGTAGTTGCCGTTTTCTGTAATAAACCCAGGTCTCTAAGAATAGGCAACAGGAAACTTCAAGCAGGGAAAAGCAGTGAGATCATAAAGTCCTGGCCCTTGCTTCAGTTTTTCAGTTGGTGGTGGTTAACTCTGCTTGGGAACAGGAAATCCAAAGATTTACTCTACTCTTCTAATTCCTAGTTAGGTGGTAATTTGGGAACAAAACATTTTCCTACTACTCTATAACATAGCTGACACTGAAAACTGAAATATGTGAATAATATTTTAATAGAAATGTAGGGGTAAAAAAGAAGTGTGACAAACATAGCAACAAAATGTAGCTTATTTGGCAAAGAGGGATCATACCCACCAACCATCTACCCTGGCTCCATGTGCTTCATAAAGCTCACCTTTAATACCAACCTCCTGGGAGCCTCCCCGAGCAACAGGGGACCTGAGTCCACTGCTTGTCATCTGTACAAAAGTGAACAATCTTCTCTTCACTTTTAGAAAAAAGGCACAATTATTACCTCAATATTATCTCCAGTGTTTGTGTCATTTTATGTGATATTAGCAGTTGAATCCAGGTCTCCTGCCTGCCAGGCAAGCTCTCTGCCTCTGAACTACATCCCCAGCCACCAATGTTTGTATAAAAGAAGTGACTGCATATGGTAGCAGAAGTTTTACTGATTACACAGGTTTGGTGTTACAGGCTGGAGAAACAGGGGAATGAGAACTGACGGGAATGAGCCTCAAAGGAAAGAGTCCCAAAGACTCTCAGTAGTGAAACTATCTGTAGAAGACCCCAGGGGAATCACAAGCTGGAGGAAGGAGTGCAGTTTCAGAACAGAAAGCGCTGCCTACACTCACAAGGTGGACAGAAATCTCAGGGAAAGGGCTGATGGGAAGGAGAGCAGACACAGATAGCAAAATAGCATAATTTCCTTCCCACTGTCACCTTTCATGCTCCTTTGTCAGACTTTTCCATGTTTATATCTTTGTCACAGTTTTTTTTAATGGGACTTTATTATATGAATCATTTATTTATTATATGAATCATTTATCACACAAATTTCTTAATTGGGCAATTTGCATGTCAGTCTTTCCTTATTTCTGGATCATAGCTGTACCCGGAATAGGTTCTTCAAGTCCCCCATGTTCCTGTCTGCTCCTCCAGCCTCAGGGCCTTGGGCCACTGAGACCTTCTCCAGGTAAGGTCCCAATCCTCTGCTTCCCCATAGGGCTTGGGTGCCTGTTCCTGGCACTCACCCCTCTCCATCTGGGGCTCATTCCTCTTTATTTTTATTTTTACTTCACCCAGTACTGGAACGTCCTTGCTGACTCTGCTGAGGAGAGAGGCTGAAAGGATCCTGAAACACTTCTTGCTCAGCATTTCCCACCTCTGGCAAAGCCTACATGTGGATATGGAGTTGGTGGTGGTTAACTCTACTTGGGAACAGGAAAACCAAAGACAGGAGAGCAGAAATGTCTCTGGGTCTGCCCTTGAGCAGATGCTCAGGCACTGACAAGGAAACTGTACCTTAGAGTATCACTTTTGAGTTACTAAATTTACTTTCAGACATAAAGACAATGCACTAATCAGTTTAAGTCTTCACACCAAGTTTTCAGTTTTCCAAGAGAACTGGAAACAGCAGACATGGTGCTCACCGGAGCCTTTAGAGCAGGCCACCTGGCACTGGCCTAAAGAAGAGCCCTTGGGACTCACATGCCACTGTCAGTCACATTCACCTGTATACACCAGAGAGCACCTAAAGCCAGTTAAAGACCCAGGATGGATCCTCAGTCAATAAAAATAGGAAGCTAGCAGATAAATATCATGCACTTGGCCACCCCTCAATTGGGACTGTATTGTATTCCACCCTGTGTCTCAAAGTACTCTCTAAAGGACTAACTACAGGTCTCATAGTGACAATCTTTTTTTTTTTTTTTTTTTTTTTTTTACTGGTACTGGGGATCAAACTCACGACCGTGCGCTTGCGAGGCAGGAGCTTTATGCCACTGAGCTAAATCCCCAGCCCCTCATACTGACAATCTGCTCATTAGTGCCTCTTTTCCATCTTCCATTGCCTTATATTTATAGAGGTTAGGGACAGAATTAGGTTTTAGATGTGGATATACTAGCCCCTCCTGAGATAATTCTGCATGCTAGCATATTGTGGGAAGGTGGGGCAGAATTTCTAAACATTTTTACTTAGGGTGTTTTTGTTTTTGTTTTGTGGCACATGGCATTGAACTCAAGGCCTTCCCTCTGAGCTACTTCTCAGCCTCCCCTCCTTTTAATACAGACTCCTTAAATCCCTAAGGAATTTGTATGCTCCTGCCCCAGTCTCCCAGGGTGCTGGGATTACTGCCATGCAAACCTGGCTTCCCATTTAAAGTCCTTACCTCTTTTTCTTTCTGAAAATGCTTGGCTCCCAGGGAGACTCATGAGAGCAAGGTGGACAGAGGAAGGGAAATATTAACTGCCTCTGTGAGTCGCGAACAGGCACAGCTCTGTGCGGCTCTACTCATGCCTGAATTAGGCTGTGGCCAGATAGGCCGAGGAAATTTACATTTCAGATAAACATTGCATTTCCAAATAAAGGAGTGCGCTGGAGTTAAATTCTTGTTTTATATTTTCTCGAATCGTCTAGAATATTTGTTTCATTTTGGCTAAAAAGCACTGGATACTATAAACCCATGTTCATGTTATTAGGTGAGTACTTATTAGTTTATTTATCCGTCCCTAAAAGGGATGTGTTAGTAGGTCCTATTGGAAATGATTGCTGTATTCGACAGCCGTCGTTATACACAAATTTGAGCTTGTCCCTCCTTCAGAACCTGGGTTGGACAAACCACTGAAGGCTCCTGGCCCCTGCAGGCATCCCTCACCAGGTCGTCCCTTGGCGGGCCGCTGGCGCCCCCGTGTGCTCTCCAGCGTGCACTGCTGACCTCAGATGCAAGCTTTTCTGCAACCGGCTTCCTAAAGATATGCTTCCCTGGAACCTGGAGGAAGGAAAATTGTGCTCTAAGTGGAGCAGCAGAGGGGATGGGAGTGGGGAGCAGTGATGCTGCTGAAAGACCAGTAAGCAATCGTTCTGGTCTAGTCGCTCCGGTGCAGAGAGGGGCACCAAACTTGTGGGCGTCCCCACAAAATTCCGAGACTGGAGGGGTGACAGCCCAGCGGCAGGAAGGAAGCAGCGCGGGAGCTGAGCAATCCTATCTAGATCCCGAGGGCGGGTCCCGCTCCGCACCCCCTGCCGGCCGCGTTGAAGATCGTGGCCTCCGCCGCCCTGGTGCAGGGGCTTCTGCCCACCAGGAGCGCGGGCCAGGTGCGAGCGCGGTCAGGGCGGCCCGCTCAGAGGCGAGGACTCCAGGCCACGGCCACAGAGCTCGCAGGAACCAGCTCCTGGGCCTGTCGCGAGAGACCCAAGCAAAGGCGGCCAGAGGCGGTGGTGGAACAGAAGCCGCAGGGCAGTGGAGACGGCTCCCTGCTGGCCGCGTCCCCATCGCGCCGTGTGGACCCTGCGTGCGCCGAGCAGGCCTGCTGCCCTCAAGTGAGCGAAGCACAGAGCGTTGTCCACCAAAGTCCAAGGCGTCTCCTGTCCTGGATGTCAAGTTTCCTGGCCTGCAAGAGGCCCAGGAAAGGACCTAAAGACAGGAAGCAGGTGGGGAGATGGCTCTGTCTTCACTCCCAGGTCGTGTAGAATCCAACTCCCTGGCCAGGAGGCTTCATTTGCGAGGATCTTGGTCCCCTGTAGTTGCCAGAACGTTTTGTGGTTTGGTTTCTGTTTTAAAGACAAGGTCTCTATGTTCCAAATTCACTCACTCATAGTGAATTCAAATTCATTATGTAGCCCTGCTGGCCTCAAACTCTAGGAGATCCTCCTGCTTCGTCCTCCCGAGTGCTGGATTTACAGGCCTTTGCTATCATGACCTGCCTGGCCTTCTGAGCCTAAACCCAGTGTCCCTGAGTGGACAGGTGTGGAATAGAACAGGCAACCAGTTGGGAAGGAAGTGGATCAGTAGGGTCATCTGTGCTGTCCAGTCTTGGTCTGGAGAACCCTCAACTCTTTTGGGAAGCATAGATGCCTCATTATGAGAGTCCTGACCCATTTCAGAGCACTCAAGTTTCCTACTTGGAGAAGGACTCGCGGAAATGGACCAGCAGGTTCGAGCTAAAGCAGGAATAATTGTGTTCCTTTAGGGTTTTTCTTGTCTTGGTATCTTCAGGATTTAGGGATTTTTCTCCAAGGAGGTGTTGAGTTAGCAATTTCAGGCCTGAGGACAGACAGACTGGGGATACAGCTGACAGGCACGTGGGGGAATTTGACCATCTTCCCTGCCATGATGCTTAGTGGCAGACAAAATTCAGAGACTGAAGAGAAACAAAGGAAGAAAGGAGAACAGTTAGGAACCCACGTGAGAGAAAAGTGCCAGCAAGGGTGACAGGGTAGCCATGGAGCTGTGAAGAGGTCATGTGGAACATGGCACATAAAAGCGGAAACAAAGCTTTCTGATTAGCTGTGGAGAATGTGAGGAAAAAACAGAGAACAAGCACATCTTGGGTCAGAGCAATAAACTCTCCACTGACTAAACTAGGAAAAGAACAAGTTGATGGATCCGAGGGAAAGGAGTACAAACAGCAAAATGTTGCTACTGGACATAGTCTTTAAGATTCTTATCAGATGTAAGTGTAACTTAAAAAAAAAAAAAAAACAGTTGCTATATGAGTGGAGCCCACAGAAGACTCCTGGACTACAGAGTAAAATTCAGTCATCATCTATGTAGTAGCTGAGTGGGGTGGCACACGCCTGTAATCTCAGCACTTAAGTGACTGAGTCAGGAGGATTGCCATGAGTTCAAGGCCCATCTGAGCTACATAGACAGACTCTGTCCCAAAGACAAAACAAAACAAAAAGTCCTGTATAATACTTAAGAGTCATGGGACTAGAAGAAACTCTGAATCCTATGTAATTGTACAGTGCAGTGGAAGGGGAAAGTATAGACAAAAACAGCAAAGGGTCTAAGGCTGAGCCTTGAGGCGTGCCAAATTTTGGAGACTGTATAGAAGAGGTGGCAACAAAGAATATTGATAAGGACTAGCCACAGACCTGGGAGGAAAACAGAGAAGAAAGCATCTCCAAAACAAAGGTGATCAGGTATGTCAAATTCTCATGCGAAGACTTGGACTGGAAGAGGAATCACATTAAACCTAGATACCATTTTGCAGGGCTGTATCGTTACAGTGGTGGCTTTTCCAGTCCATGAATGAGGTGTAATTCTCTACATCACTGTCAATCTCTCATGGCAGTGTTAGGCTTCTCTGTCCAGAAGTACCGCTAGATTTACTTCTATACCTTTCATTTTCATCTCTCTGTTACACTATAAGCACACTGCTTTTTAACCCTTAAGACTTTTTTGTCTTCTGGGACTTGGGAATTGAACTGGGGCCTTCTCCGTGGTTACATACCCAGTCATTTTTATTTTTTTCTTTCTGAGACAGGGTTCAATAAATTGCTAAACTGGTTATGCTGGGCTCAAATTTAGGATCATCCTGCCTCAGCCTCTCATTGTGCTGGCATTATAGGCATGCACCACTCCAGGCTCCCTTAAGGCTTTAAGAGGACAACATTGTAGAGATGGAATATGCAGACTCTGCCAAAACAATGTGTACATACTTCGGGAAAAGAAAAATAGTATGCTGTTTTATCAATAGATGGTGTTACCCTCCTATGAGGGACTCCAGAAGATGTTATATATCGCAGAAAATATGCTACTGTGCTGGCCCTTAGAGAAGAAATTGAAACTGAAATTATTTAGCAATCTCAATGACCAAACTTACCCAACCTTCAGTTCACCATACTAGTACATGTCTGGAAGCTAACAGCCACCACCCTGAGCACCTCTTGTAATTGTAGAGGTCGAAGATAACTTGTATTAAACTCATGATGTCTCAATAAGTTTACTATTAAAATATTTATATAAGGCTTTCTTTTCCTGCAATGTGTACACATTTTTGGTGGATTCCATATGTTAAAGGAGAACACTGTGGACGTGCTATGCAAATTAATGGAGACAAAAATTCAAAAAGACTGGAGGTAACTGGTGTAGGCTTTAGGGAGAAAGAAGTTTCCCAAATGTGGTATTTGCTGAGAAGACAGCTTAAAGGCAGTTCCAAGAAATCAATGGTATGGTTTCCAGTGAAACAGCATTCATTTGAGTACCGCTGTTAAGTCAGGCCCAGTTCTTCTGGCAGGACAGAGAAAAACCTTGAATAAAAGAAACAGATATTCACATAGGCTTATAAGCACCATATTCAAGAAAATAATCATTTTCTAACTTTAACTCAATCATAACCTTAAATTTCACAAATTTTGTTCACAATAAAGCAGAAGTCAAACTGGGTTTTTTGTTTGGTTGGTTGGTTTTGTTTGGTTTTTTGAGACAAGATATCATATTGTTCACACTGACCTTAAACTCACTATGTCATCCAGGCTAATCTCACACTTGCAATGATCCTTCTCAGTGCTTGATCCCAAGCACTGAGATTACATCAAATCATTTTATTGTTTTGTTTTGTTTTGTTGAGACAGGATCTTGCTACTCAGGCTGATCTTGAACTCCCTATGCAATCCAGGCTGGCCTTAACTTGCAGTGATCCTCCTGCCTCAGCCTCTCCAGTGCTGGGATTATAGGCATGTGACACTATGCCTGATTAAATAGTAGATAATTTTTTACTTTGACATCTTCTATAATCTATGTGCTTTTGCCTAAAAATATAAAGTAAAGAGAATACTCTTACTTATTGCTTTGCTCTATAATCTATGAATACATCCTGTGTGGTTCCAGTTTTTCAAAATTTGTTGAAATTTAATTCACCTCTTTACTGATGATCAAATTCTGTCAATATTCCATATGAATTTGAAAATAAATTTTTCCCATCTTGAATATAATATAGGTATAAATAAAGACTAATCTTGTTGGTCATGTTTTTCAAATCTCTGTATCCTCAATAAATTTCAGTCACCTTGATCTGTCACTTCTTTAAGATTGTATTTAAAAGTCATCACTGTGATTGTTGACTTACCAAAACTCTTTGTATGCACATTTATGTGAGTAGCTTCATGAATATATGTACTTGTTAAATGCAAACAATTCATGATCAGGCCTTAATGAGTTACTGCTTCTACGAGTATGAAATATTGTTCTCCTGATGCCACGGCATGGATTTATCATGTACATAATTTATCTTATATTTTCTTGCCTTCCACAATAATATGTTCATTCTCCTCCTCAATACAACATAAATCTTACTTGCTGGTTTTACTCTTCACTCTGGCCCTCCCCTATCTTCCATATTAATATCACCTAGAATTGGAATTCCACATTTTCTTAATTTTTCAGAATCTGATAACAATATGTTTTGCCATATCTATGGCTACCTTTACTTCTGGTCTACATCTTCCCTCAGCATCCTTTTAAAATTCTTACTGGACTACAACTGTAGTAATTCTCCCAGACATGGGTCAAAAAGTCTTTCCTGCTTAAATGGTAAACTTAGCTGAATATGAAAGTTTAGTTCCAAGTTGGCCAGAGAGACACACTTCTGTAATCCCAGCCACTCAGTAGACTGAGGCAAGAGGCTGAAGGCTGTGCTGGGCAATTTACGGAGCCTCTATTTCAGAAATAAAAAGGAGGTGAATGGATGTGTAGCTCAACGCTTCAGCTCCTGGGTTCAACTCCCAGTGTCACAAAAAGATAAGGTCTGGGGGCTGGGGATTTAGCTCAGCGGCATAAACGCCTGCCTTGCAAGCAGGCAGTCGTGGGTTCGATCCCTGGTACCGATAAAAACGAAAAAGACAAAAAAAAAAAAAAAAAAGATAAGGTCTATCTTCTTATATCCAGGGCTGCCCAAATATATCTGCCAAAAATGTGATCTCTGTTCTTTGTAAGCGTGTTCTCTGCGTGTTTCAGAGCCTTTGCTTAAGCTCTTCGTTCTGCAGTTTTAATACCATGTATCTAGGTTGAGGGTCCTTTCAATTTCACCCTTGTATCCTCATGACTTAATGGGACCTTGCAGGCTAAAGAAATATAAAACAAATTTTATCAGCAGATCTGTATCTTACTACTTTAATTTTCTCAATTTTCAATCTCATCCAAGTGGATGAATTTTAAAACATCTGGATCTTTTATGTCATTTGACTTTTTTCATATTTTTCATTTTTGTAAATTTTATGTGATTTTAATGGGTAACTTATAGTTGATCTTTCAGCTTATTTATTTGCTCTTATCTATGTTATTTTATCCTGGTTTTAACCTTGTTGACTTTTTAATTACAAATTTCACATTTTCATGATCTTTAAATATTCTTGTATTGTTCTCTCCTACATCTCTGAGGATATTAAACATGCTTATTTTGAGGTATCTTCTATTAACAGCTCTTTAGGCTCTACTCTTCATTAAGTTTAGTGTCTGACTACTAACAAAATTTGGACTGTTCCAATTTCATTTAGGCCCTACACTGAACACTAGAATGATATTCCAGTGAAATTTCTCAGTCTATTGCTGTATCAGAAACAAGTCCATAGCCAAGCACAGTGGTGTATACCTGTAATCCCCACATTTGGGAAGGTGAGGCAGGAGGATTGCTTCAAGTTCAAGGCCAACATGGGCTACAAAGTGACTTCAAGGCCAGCCTGAACTACACAGTAAAACCCTGTTTATGCTATAGAAGAAGGTTTATGCTATAGAAGAAACTATTTTGCTGCAGTTGTCAGGAAATATTTCCCCTAAAATTTCTGATGATTCGGGCTCATGTGCTCATCTTTGTACTGGTGGATTTCTGTGCCGAAATTGCCTCCGTATATCGGAGGGCAAATAATATTGGACTTCTCCAAAGTTATCTTTTCATGATGGGAACACTCCTCTTACTTATACATTTTCATTTCTTTCTCTTTGTCCCCACACACAGCTGACACCAAACACTTCTGCGGCCTCAAGGTAGGAAACGGGTAGCTATGAATAAACCTTATGTGATGCTTCTGCTCTGGTATTCAAACAGTGACATTATCAGCTGTCCCAAGACCAATTCTTGTTCCTAGAATCTTCTACAAAGCATGGATCGCTTTTTAATTCACACCTATCTTCTGCAAAAGTCCTCTGTTGCACTCTTCATCCTTGCCCCACCTGCCATCTCTTTGTCAATTTTTCATCATTCCTAGGAATTTGATGTTGAAGATGGGAAGAATGAAACGTACCTTCGGGACAATATCTTGAATCAGTAGTCATATTCTAGTCCCATCCGGACTAGAAGCCATCAGCGTTCAGAATTGCTGGACTCCTCTTCCTCACCCCCCTTTTTCTAAGGACCCTCAG